TGAGAGAGGCGGGGCATAGAGGACCTACAATAATGTACAGTATTTGAAAAATAATGTGCTTTTTGAACATTAAAGCATGTCAACATATTCTGTTACACCAAATACACATCGGCCGGTGCTCAGAGACTGCTGCGTTCACGCCATATAGTAATTACCGTAATTTCGAGATGACAGCACGTGATGTTCTACTCGGAGCTGTTCACATCCTCGGACGTGGAATTATGCTTTTATATGGCAACACTATAGAGTGGTGGAACTATGATGTCACTTTGTAGGCAAAAACGCCTAAACAGTGCCTGCGGGGGTCAGGTGGTACAAGTCGTAGCTCTCAAAAAACGTCCAGTTCACACGTTGTAATTACGAGTTCTACGAGGACGTGAACGCTTTTTTTTTTACAAGTTGGAATCTCGTAATTACGGGAATTCCGATATAGTGTGAACGCACCTTTAAGGCTAACAACCACTTTAGCTCCTGCCAGAAGATTTTGGAAGAGGTGTGGGTTGCTGTGGACGCTGAATTACAGTGTGAGGTAATGTCATTGAGAGGAGGAGAAACTGTTCAAACGACTGTTCTGGGTTCAAACCTCTATCGACCGTAACACCGTAGATTTCCTCTGAAAAAAACACGGAAGATTCGGTCCACCGATGGTTAAAGAAAGAAATATTTATATTAATGTCTGAGTGTTTAAACTTTAAAAGCGTTAAAGCTTACGTTACTGATATAATTCGTGGTTTTTAACTTGTATTATCCTAAAGCTTCCGCTAACAAAAATAGTCCATTGTACAAAACAATGAGTCTAGTAACAAGACGAACACCAATGTTACATTACAGTGATAGTAATACTCAGTTCTCTATTAATAATCAGTCCGCTTAAGTAATTTTCAATATAATCAATAACTGCGACTAAGAAACAAGGATGGAAAATGTACGGAAAAAAGCGAGTGCTCGGCACGATACAAAAGTAGCGCCGTAAAACCAGCATGCTGGTTAGATATGTTTTGAAGCTGGGATGCTGGTTTGAGCTGGTTTAAGCTGGTCCTTTGCTGGTTTAACATACCTAACCAGCATATGCTGGTTTTTTCAACAGGGCGGTAGTTTACTTGAATGAGCGTTAACTTTTTAAAGGGGT